TAAATAAATAAGTTTTCAAGACAAGAAACAAAAGGCATCTGTAAAGAAAAACTGATCTGGTCTCACTTTAAAACAACGTGTGCTCTCGTTATCAGCATGTGGACATTGCATCAGATAAAAAGCTGTATGTTTGTATGTGAACACAAAAACTCACAAAGTCCAGACAGTGTGAAATAGAGTTTCGTAAATAAGGATCAACTGAAAGATTTCTATCTCACAGTTTGATCATCACCTCAATAACTCTAGGAGAAAGATGAGGAGACATAAGGTGAAAGCAAAACCTTTTAGTGTACAGTATATGTATAAACCCATGTGCATGCAGGTGATACAGAACAGCTGGCTGGAAAAATGTTGGATCATCTCCATTTTGGCAGACTTTGAACTGTGTACGTGTGTGTGCCCAAAGCTGTTTTATTGTTTTATTCATTAATATCTCTTCCAGGSCTCAGTGCTCTTTTTAAAGTTGCCTGTTTGACTGACAGCCCAATTCTGCTTGCTGCTGGAGGTGACTGGATGTGCATGTGTGTGTGTGATTGGCTGTCTGTGATCCAAGTATAACTCATATGGTGTGGACCTAAATCTGTTTGCTCTGTCATATTATTGGGACCAAATTCACTTCAGTGTTCTCCACTGGTGATCACCCATTAAACCTGATTTTTTTTAGCAGGAATTATTAAATGATGTTAACAGCCTGGAAAAGCCACTGCTATAGACGAAAGCTCTAAAATGAAATATAAATAAAAGTAAACAAAGATTTGTTTGCTTAGACCATTGCAATTGGCTAAGGTCAGACCTTCTGACAGATGTAGAATGTGTTTTTTATGTCATTTCACAGTTTAAAAAATGAGCAAGTCAGTGTGAGACTGGGCTCATTTACAAGCCACAGCAGTGCTTAGCCTGCCGGGTAAAGGACTCAGGAAAGGTGAAGTTGCATAGTCACAAGCGTGGAAAGGTCTAGCTGGTCAGCAGGAGACAGAACGACCTTTGTGAACAGTTAGAGGCCGAGTTTATCAGGACCTGCTGACAAACTGTCAGACAGCCGACATCACGCTCGCCGTTGGGGCGCCAGGGGTCACATTGGGCCTGTCTGGCTGCGTGTGTGTTTCTGTGTGAGCATATGGGTTTGAATGGGTAGGGGGTTGGACAGTGGCATATTACACACCAGCAGGTTTTGCCTCCTCTTCATCTGTTTGTTGCCTAAATCAAATTGAGCGCGCACACACACACACACACACACACACACACACACACACACACACACACATACATAGACTTGTTCCAGCTACAGCCTTCACAATGAGCTGATTTGCTTTGCTGACAACATGCACAATCTCCTCCAAATCTCTCTGCAAGAAGAAAAAAAAAAACTTGTGACTCTACAACAAAATGTCTCAAAGCAATCTTGACTGGACTGTGAAATGGAATAATAGATGTAAAATTTTATAATGTTGATTTTTTTCACAAAATACTTTGCTTGTGGATGACTAAATAGAAATATGACGTAATGGCACAGAGTCAAGTGATGAGATATTTTCACATTATTCATAAACATGCATGTTTAATATATGTGAGCAGTAAATAAAAGGCATAACAAGTCTAAAAAGAAAAATAAGTGTGATTATCTCAAGGCTAACAAGCTGTGCTTAATAAGAGAGCGATGCCTATTTATATTCTGAGATTAAAACGAATAGAGCCAAAAAGGTTGATTTAGGAAACTTGGCGTGTATAACTGCTGATAGGACATGGTTAGGTGTTTGAGTGAACATCAAGGAAATAAACGCAGAGCACCATGAACTGCAGACTCACCGTAAACACTACCAACAATTAACATAATTTATTTCCCGAGTTCATTAGAACTCACAGATGCTTTGAAGGCAGAGGCACAGATGTTCAACAAGGAAGTAATTTAAAGCAAAAGCATCTTGGAAAGTTTGCTCATTACCTTTATTACATAGTATTTTTTTTTTTGTTATTTACATGCAACAAGTCCTACCAAGTTCTACCAAGTTACAAAAACCCAGTTCAGCACCAATTGCTTCTGAATCTCCTTAAACTGCTTATTTTGTGTTCTTATTTTTGAATAAACACTAAAGAATGCCACCTTGAGCGAACACAGGTAAGACATGGATGATGTTCAGTCAGGTCAATCAGAGAAGGCGGGGAGGAGCTTTTTGAGAGATATCCTGTTAGTTCAGGATTTTATTTTATTTTTTCTGAAGTTCCTGAATTTTCTGGATTGAGTTTTCAAAACCTATCTTACATTTTGTAAAGTGCATTTTTACATTAAGTTTTAGGTTCARCATTCTCAATATATTTCTAGGGTCTTTTTCCAGATTATTTTCACCAAGTTTTATTTTATGATCTCCACACACACTCGCATACAGACACTCACAGCAGCAATTTTATTAATGTCATGCCTCATGATTATAAAACTGATTTTGTGTTCCTCTGATTTTCCTTTTTTTTTT